TCCAGGTCACCTGAGGCCACAGCAGGGGCCATAAACCTTCTGTGCAGAGCCTACTCATTGCTCCGCTGTCTGCACCCATAAAGAGTGTCTGGGTGGTAACAGACACCTTGGGTCTCTAGGAGATGAGGCCCAGGAATCCTGGCTGCTCACTCGTGCTGCCCTCTGCTGTGGGCATCCATGCCTCTACTAGGACACGGACCACGAGCGTGACCTGCCCACCGGCACGGCAGCTTCCAGACGGCAGGCTGTCTGCGGTGTGCAGGAGATCAGGCAGTGATGAACTTGGTGCTCTAGAAAAAAGCCTCCAGGCTTCTTGTGGGAAACGGGTTTGCTCCGCGGCTTAGCTGTCACTCATCACCGGGAGATGCTACCGTTAGGTGCCATCGAGTCCGCTGTGCCAAGCAGTGCCTGGTCCTGTGTCCCTGTCACATTGGTCCTGTGCTTGAACCCATTGTTGCTATCACTGTGTCAGTCCGTCACGTGGAACGTTTTCCTCTTTTGTGCTGACCCTCCACTTGACTAAGCATCATCATGTCCATCTCCAAAGTATGTGAGACCATTCTCACCAGCCTTGCTCCTAAGGAGCATTCTGGCCATACTTCCTCCGAGATAGATTAGTCCTTCTTCTGACAGTCTATGGCATATTCAGTATTCTTTGCCAATACCATCATTCAAAGGTACCAATTCTTCTCCAGCCCTCCTTGTTCATTGCCCAGCTGTTGCATGTTTTTGAGGCAACCGAAATTGCCGTGGGTCTGGGTCACGTTCACCCTCCTGGTCAAAGTGGCATCTTTGCTCTTGAACACTTTAAAGAGGTCTTTTGCAACTCATTTGCCCAATGCAATAAATGCATCATTTGATTTCTTAACTGCTGCTTCCATGGGCATTGATTATGGGTTCAAGTAAAGTGAAATCTGAAATGACAGCTTCAGTCTTTTTTCTGTTTGTCAGGACATTACTTTTTGGATCCGTTGTGAAAATGTTTGTTTTCTTTATGTGAGGGGTAAACCATACTGAAGCCTTTAATCTTCCTAAGTAAGTGCTCAAGCCCGCTTCACTGTCAGTGAACGTTAATGAGTTCTCCTCCAGTCATGGTGCTGTGTCTTTCTCCGTATATAGTCCAGCTTCTCAGATTATTTGCTCTGTGTACGGATTGGGTAAATATGGTGGAAGGATACCACGCTCACACACACCTTTCCTAGTTTTAAACCATTCAGTATCCCCTTATTCTGTCTGAAAAACCACCTCGTGGTTCATGTACAGGTTTTGTATGAGCACAATTACACATTCTGAAATTCCCATTCTTCACAATGTTATTCATAAATTGTATGATCCACACTCTCAAATGCCTTTTCATAGTTGACAAAATGGAAATAAGCTTTTCTCTGGTATTCTCTGCTTTTGGCCAAAATACATCTGATATAAGCCATGAAACCCTTCACTCCACATCCTCTTCTTCTAAATCCAACTTAAATCTTTCTGCCAATACCTGTCGATGCACTGCTGAAACCATTTTTTAATCACCTTCACTATAATTTTTCTTGTAACATTACGTTAATGGTACTGTTCGATAATTTCCACATTCCATTGGAGTGGACATTTGTATGGATCCTTTCCAGTGGGTCACCCAAGTAGCCGTCTTCCAAATTTCTTGGCCTTGACAAGTCAGTGTTTCCAGTGTCACATTCGTTTGTTGAAATGCCTTCATTGTACCCCATCCCTTCCTGGGGCCTTGTCTTTCATCAGTCTCTTCAGTGCCGCGTGGACTTTTCCCTTCAATACCAATGGCTCTTGTTCACATGTTACCTCCTTAAAAGGTTGACTGTTGACCCATTCTTTTTGGCATGATGAGTCTGTGTAGACCTTCCCTCTTCTTTTAATGCTTCCTGCATCATTCAATTTTTTGCCCGTTGTTGTTGTTGTTATTAAGTGTTGTTGAGTCGGTTCTGACCCTTAGCAACCTTGTACAGGATTCTCGAGGAGCAGGTGGTGACCTTGAACCACCAACTTTGCAGTTCAGACAACTTTGCCGTCCAGCGCATTAACCCACAGCGCTACACCAGGACTCCGCCCATAGACTCCTTCAGTATTTCAACTCAGAACTTAAATTTCTTCTTCAGTTCTTTCAGCTTGACAAATGTGAACTGAATTATTTCCTTTGGTTTTCTGACTCCAATTCTTTGCACATTTCATTATAATATTTCACTTTATCTACTCGAATTGCCCTTCAAAATCTTCTGTTCAACTGTTTAATATCATTTCTTCTGTTTGCTTTAGCGACTCTACATTGAAGAGCAAGTTTCAGAGTCTCTTCTGACATCCACTTTGGTCTGTCTTTCTTTTTAATGACCTTTGCTTTTTTCTTGCATGAGGTCTTTGATACCATCACACAACTCCACTGTTTTTCCATCACTCGTGTCTAATGCATCAAATCTGTTCTTGAGATGGGCTGTAGATTCAGGTGGGATATGCTCAAGGTCATATTTTGGCTTTTGTGGACTTGTTTTCATTTTCTTCAGCTTCATTCTGAACTTGCATATGAGCACTTGATGGTCTGTTCCAAAGTCTGCCTCTGTCCTTGTTCTGGCTGCTGATATCGTGCTTGTCCATTATCTTTTCCCACTGATTGTTCCGTTTGATTCCTGTGTATCCTATTATGTGAGGCCCATGTGTATAGTTGCCGTTTATGTTGTTGAGAAAATGTATTGCAATGAAGAAGTCATTGGTCTTGCCAAATTCTGCCCTGTGAGCTGCAGCATCATTTGTACCACCAAGGCTGTTGGTCCTTCCTTCCTCTTTGTTTCCAACTTTTTCATTCCATTCACCACTAACTCCCACTACATTCTGATGTATTGATAACTTGATCAATTTCAGTTTATAGATGTTGGTAAAATTCTTCCATTTCTGCATTTTTTATGCTAATGGTTGAATGTGAGCTCTAGGCAGAGAACAGTGTGGCTCCCAGCCCAGGAACTGTCTCCAGGTGGTCCTGAGGGCACAGGGAGACAAGCCAGGAATTCCCTCTAGTGGGAATGCTGCTCCTTGGAGAGAGAGATGCAGATTCTCAGGGAGCCTGGGGAGAGAGGCCCATGGAGGAGGGGAGAGGTGAGGAGAAAGACCCATGGAGGAGGGGAGAGGCGAGGAGAGAGACCCATGGAGAATGACCCAGGTGTCTTAAATGGGGCTGTGGTCGAAAAGTGTGAGAGACTTGCCCCAAATCAGGCCAATGACATCATTTGGGCAAAGACAGGACCAGTCCCTCTGAGGCGAGTAGTGACTACAGTGCCAAGTCTGCTGTAAGTCAGGCGGGTTCTGAGGAGCGCTGTGGTGGGTTCGTGTCTGAGTCAGGTGCCCACACATGCAGCCAGCACAGGGTGCCAAGGCCACAATGGGTTTGGTTGCAGTGAGGTTGCGCGTTTCCCCATTTACTCCTGACCACATCTTCCAGAAGCTCTTGTTCCTCGCCCCTCGTTTTGTGGTAGCCTTCCTGGTGTTTGACAGTTGTCTTCGTTGTCGGGTGCATGTGTGCCAGAGATACCACAGCAGGTTGCTCTGACAAACATGCCTTTACTCTCTCACCACTTGGGAGACTAGAAGTCCAGATTCAGAGGTCCGGCTCTGGGGAAAGGTCCTGGTCTGCTCTCAGCATTCTGGGGAGGTCTCCATGCGTCTTGGCATCAGTCTTCCCCTGGATCTAGGAGCTGCACGGTGCAGGGAACCTGGGTGTGAAGGACGCCCTCAACTGGTCCTCTCTCTTGGGGGTAGCAGTCCTCCAGCTCTCTGCTCAAGGCTCTCCTGTCATCTCTTATAAGAGTGAAGGGGATGTAGATCCCTTCCCCTTACATGGAATCAGGGCTGCCCTAGGATTAAGGCCATTCCATCCCATATCATGGGGGAGGGGATCATAACATAAACAACACGTTGTTGTTACGTGCCCTTGAGTCAGTTCTTTCTCAGTGACCCTGGATAGGGTTTTCCAGGAGCGGCTGTTGAGTTTGAACCACCAAACTTGTGGTTAGCAGTCCAGTGCTGACGCTACAGCGCCACACCACGTCATTCAAACCACTGAACTTCCTGGTCCAGCCAAATTGGCACATATCTGGGGGCAACACAGTTCAATCCATGGCAACAAGCGTTTGTATCTAAGCGATGTCTGTGTGCCATAAATATCGCAAAGACAGTTTTACTTTTTCTTTTTCACGTCAGTTTGGTTTATACCGTTATTGCTCTTCAAGACTTGTAAACATTTTCTGTCATCATTGGTATTATTTTTCAAGTTGAGGGCACACCAGTCACAGGCTGCTCTGCACGCCCAGCCACTGTGACATTTGTGGTTACCGGTGTGAGCGCCACCCCAAGCTGAAAGTCGTCTCTGTTTCCTTCCGGTTTCAGTCCTCATCCATCCATCTCCTCGCTTCTCTGGAGACTAACTTCCTCACGCTCTCCCTCACACTTTTTATCACAATCAGTGGTTGATCCAGGTCGTTTGGCTTGTCTGTAGTTTCATGATCGCTACTGTGAAGTACTATGCATATCCCACAGTTTGTCCAGCGGAGTGACAGCTGGGATGTGTCCACTTGGGTTCGGGAGTCCGGCTGCTCTGCAGGTCTCTCTGGGGTGAACGCCCAGGGGTGGGATTGTTGGTCTCGAGGCAGATGTGTGTCCAGGAAGCCTTGCCACACACCACACATTTGTGCCATTCTCAAGACTTTCCCAGGTCATTCCAAGATGTCAAGAAATACGGTGTGAGTTTTCTTCCGGCACCTCAATAGTTTGTATCTTCGTTTTTCACATGCCTTCTGGGCTCTGAGTGGCCCTCCTTTCCTTTGAGGTGCAGTAGGTCAGCATAGATTCCTCGGAAATGCTGTGCAGGGGAGACCAGACCCAGAGATGGAGAGGCCTCTGTCCCGCTGGTCGCCCTTGTGCGTCTGTTCTGACTTAGCGTCTGAAGAGCCCAGGTCCTGACCCTCTGTGTCTCCTTCCCTTCGCAGCAGCAGCAGGAGATGTTGGCCCTGAAGCACCAGCAGGAGCTGCTGGAACACCAGCGGAAGCTGGAGCGGCACCGCCAGGAGCAGGAGCTGGAGAAGCAGCACCGCGAGCAGAAACTTCAGCAACTCAAGAACAAGGAGAAGGGCAAAGAGAGTGAGCGAGGGGCGGGAACCCGAGAGTGAGCGAGGGGCGGGGACAGGAGAGTGACGGACAGGGAACAGGAGAGTGAGCGAGGGGCGGAGACAAGAGAGTGATGGACAGGGAACAGGAGAGTGAGCGAGGGGCGGAGACAAGAGAGTGAGGGACTGGGAATAAGAGAGTGAGGGAGGGACGGGGCGGGGCGAGTGAGCGAGGGGCGGGGACAGGAGAGTGAGGGACAGGGAACAGGAGAGTGATCGAGGGACAGGGCAGGGCGAGTGAGCGAGGGGCGGGGACAGGAGAGTGACAGACGGGGAACCCGAGAGTGAGCGAGGGGCGGAGACAGGAGAGTGAGGGACAGGGAACAGGAGAGTGAGGGACTGGGAATAGGAGAGTGAGGGCGGGGCGGGGCGAGTGAGCTAGGGGCGGTGACAGGAGAGTGAGCGAGGGGCGGAGACAGAAGAGTGAGGGACAGGGAACAGGAGAGTGAGTGAGGGGCGGGGCGAGTGAGAGAGGGCCGGGGACGGGAGAGTGTGAGAGAGGGCCGGGGACGGGAGAGTGAGGGAGGGACAGAGACAGGAGAGTGACAGACGGGGAACAGGAGAGTGAATAAGGGATGAGTGACACGGGGGACTGGATGGGTGGGCCCTGGGCGTCACAGGGAGGGTGAGTATGGGGACATCGTGGTCAGGCACAGCCCTTGTAAGAGCAGCTGTTGCTTCCAGAAGAGAGTGGACGGACCCTCTCCAGTGGGGATCTCCATGTCCCTCCATGAAGGTTAAGGCCAGAGGTGAAGGGCACTTCAGGCATCCCCTTCCTTGCAGGCCATGGGGGGTGGACATCAACATCAAAGCAAGGTGTGGTCAGGGTGAAGTCTGGTTTGATTTAAGCAGTTAAAAGAACACTTAGAAGTGTCTCTAATGTCTGGATTTTAGTATTAATGTTTATTTGGATTTCAAACTACTGCACGCCCTGAATCCTACCAGCTGCGTGCTATGTGGCAAAGTCCTGTTGCCTGCGAGCATTTAGCAGGTGTCTCCACCTGCCTGGCATTATCGTGAAGACACCCCGGCAGCCAAGGAGGACACGTAGCTAGCTGCATGCATTGTGAACTTGCGAACAGTTTTCACTTTATATAGAGGGGTTTTTGTTTTTTTTCCTTTGTATAGTTATGATTGTGAGGACAGTACAGGACTGAACCGTGGTTCATTTTGCTGCATGTACGGACCAACTCAATACCACCTAATGACAGCAGCATAAAAGAATATTTACAAAATATAACTAAGATCGGTGGTTCAAACTCACCAACTGCTCCTCAGAAATCCTGTATAGAGTCGCTATGAGTCAGGACCAACTCCAAGGTATTTATCAACAATCTAAGTTATAAACCAAAACCACTGCCAACTCGTAGCAACCCTGTATCGGGTTTCTGAGACTGTAAATCTTAAATCTGTACGAGAACTGAAAGCCTCATCTTTCTCCCATAGAGCGGCTTGTGGGTTTGAACTGCCGATCTGCAGTTAGCAGTCCAATGCTTATCCTATAGCACCACAGCAAGGTTCCTCATCCAAGGTATTTGTTGTTGTTGCTGTTAAATGTTGTTAGGTGCTGTTGGGTCAGTTCCAACTCTAGCACCTTTATATAGGGTTTCCATGGAGTGGCTGGTGGGTTTGAACCACCAACCTTGCGATGAACAGTCCAGTGCTGATGCTACATCACCACACCTAGACTCCCATTAGTCACTGTTGTTGTTAAGTGCTGATGGGCAGGTTCTGACTCACAGTGACCCTGTATAGGGCGTCCAAGTAGTGGCTGATAGATTTGAACTGCCGACCCTGTGGGTTCACCGTCCAATGCTTATGCTATAATGCCAAACCAGGACTCCATATCTCTCTGTCTATTTCTTTGTTTGTGTGTGTGTTGTTCTTGTTGTCGTTGTTAAGTGCCATTGAGTCGGTTCCGACCCATAGCGACCCTGTACAGGGTTTCCGAGGCTGTAAATCTTTATGGGAGCAGAAAGCCTCAGCCTTCTCCCGCGGAGCAGCTGGTAGTTTCAAACTGCTGTCCTTAAGGTTCACAGCCCGATTCGTAGCCACTACGCTACCGGAGCGTTGTTATTAAGAGCTGTCAATTAAGTCCCGACTCGTAGTGACCCTGTATAGGGCGTCCAAGGAACAGAGTTTGGGTTTGAATGGTTGTATGTATGGTTCAAATTGACATTTCTGTCTAGTATTTAGCCTACGACATCACACCAGGGCTAATATATGCTGTTGTTGTTGTTGTTAAGTGCCGTCGAGTCTGTTCCGACCCATAGCGATTCTGTATAGGGTTTCCAGGAGCTGTTGGTAAGCTTAACCTTGCTGTTCAAACCGATTTTGCTCCTTTTATATATTTGAGTACTGGTGTAGCGCTGTGGGCAAAGTCGGTTTCCGATTCATAGTGTCTCTCCAACGTCAGGGAGCCACAGTTTTGCGGTAATCGGCCGTCAGTTTTCCTGACAGGTTTTCTTTCACCTTTGTATCCCAGGCAGCGTACTGCCTCTTACCTGTACTTTGACTCTGTGATAGCTTTTGCAGCTTGCTTTTGTACCTCAGCTTTTGATTCTGATATTCCTCCATGGATGGATGGACTGTGATGTAGTTTCACTCTTACTCAACGGCAGCAATAGCTTTCCTTAAGGAGTCCTGGTAGCATGGAGGATTACGAGCTAGGTTGTTAACTGCAAGGTCAGCAGTTCAAATCTACCAGTCGCTCCACAGGAGAGAAACGAGGTTTTCTGCTCCTGAAAAGGTTTACAGCCTCTGAAACCCTATACAGGGTCACTATGAGTCGGAACCAACCGTTGGCTCACAACAACCAACACCCAACAATAGCATTCCTTATTGAATATCCCATAGTTTATTAATTTCACCAACTGCTGCTTCCTATCTGGAAGCTTCTGCTAATTGGTGTGTGCCACAACCAGCAAACAGCAAAGTTTCAAATTGTTATTAGGAGCCATGATGACGCTCTGGAGTAAGCAATAGACTGCCAACCACCAGGTCAGCAATTCTGAGGGATAGATGAGGCTGCCCACCTGCTCATCCCAGAAACCCTGAACAGGGTTGGACTCATTCTAGGGCAGTGGTTTGGCCGGGCTCTACATTAGTTCTACATCATTTACTGAGCTGATACTGTTTTAAGGCAAACACAGGACTTTTAGACCAGTTTCTCAGTCAGAAGCAATGTCCACAGTGCATGGTAAGCTGGGTCCATCTCTCTCAAGTGCCGGAATGTTCTCCGCTGCTTTCCAGCCCCGTGGTTTCTCCTCTGTGAACTGGTTGTGTTTTATCCTTCCTCATAAACGGTTCAGTCTGCTAGTTTGGCACGCAGCGCCCAGCCCAGCAGCCCTCGGAGTGTGGTCTCGCAGTGGGAGCGCCGGGCCAGCAGCCCCCGCAGTGGACGCCTCTTGGGGCTCTGTGTAAGCAGAGCTCCAGGTCCCCACCGTGAAGGACAGAGCATTGGGGTGGGGGTGGGGTGCAGATACCTCTAAGTGTTTCTGTTTTAAACATTCAGAAACATTTTCAAGGCATCTGCTATTTGGTTTCTTGTGTTGTTTTGTTTTGCTGAGTTTCTTGTTGAATATTTAGCATAAAGTTTTGTTACATTTGTAAACATTTATGCTACTTTTCATTTTAAATACTGCTGCCATTTTCTCTGAGGTGGATCTGGGGGAGGGGAGGGCGTTTGTTAGAATCTTCAATAGTTGGCATCTCCTTCAGCCTGAACATGCCATCTCCAATCGACTGGGGTTTTTTGTTGTTGTTGCTAGGGAAAGGAGCCCAGTGGCACAGCAGGTTAAGCACTGGACTGATTACCCTCAAGGTGGACAGTTCAAACCTTATGGAGCAGTTTTACAGTGCCATAAAAGAATCTATGCATTTGAGTTGTGGTGTTGGAGACTACACCAGGCACCGTGGGCTCCCAGAAGAACAACCAAGTCTCTGTTGGAAGAGCTGCAACCAGAATGCTCCTTGGAGGTCAGAGTGGCCAGACCAGTCTCTCATACTTTGGGCATATTGTCAGGAGGGACTGGTCCCTGGAGAAGGACATCACACTTGGTAAAGTAAAGGGTCAGTGAAAAAGAGGGAGATTCCCAATGAGATGGCTTGGCACGGTGGCAGCAGGAATAGACTCAAACCTAACAACAGTTCTGAGACTGGTACAGGACTGGGTGGTGTTTTGTTCTGTAGTGCACAGGGTCACC